GCTGAACACCCATTTATTCGTTGTCTGTCGTTCTCTTCTCTGTTCTTTCCCGAACAGTAGTAACCAAGGTCAAACGTCTTCTTCCTTCTTTCTTTCACTATACATACTATGTTTATGGTCTCGTTGCTGGGCTCCTCTCGCTCCCGGTCTCACTCATTGCTGGGCTCCTCTGCCTACTTACTCCTCTCCTTCACTCAATCACTTTCAGAACTGTAAACACTCTTTGATCCTTAGAACTTGGAAAAAAAGCAGAAATCTTTTTCCCGGGGCTGGTAACGCAGCTTAGAAAAGATGATAGCTCCATAAACTATCAGGTCAAACGCAATATTGAACGCAATCTTCTCTCTTTCATTTTCCAAGAATGCAAAATCAGCTTTGCGCAATATAGTCTCGCCCCACTCTTGATAGTGAAAGAGGGGCCGAAAGATGGGCTTTTTCTTCTTTTCTTTTTCGGTATGCCGCTCCGCGATCAAGGAGCGAAGCTACTCGACGAGAAGGGGAGAGGAGCGAAGCTGTATTGTGTGTTCTGAAAGAAGACTAGTACTCTATAGGGGGACATTGTGCTTCCCGCACCCGTCTTCAAGTGAACGTCTGTCTGCTTTATTCCTCTAGCTCAAGGCCCTTCCATGCTTCTGGGGTGATTTATCTTATATCATCCTTCCCCTGTCTACCTACTTTTGTTCTTTGTTAAAGTCAGAAAAGGACTTAGACCATCTGGGTACCGGCACCAGCCTGCAAGGGAACCGCTGGGGATACTCATTTGAAATCTGACTCAGATAGCTCAACTAAAGTACTGTGCAGTACGCCTCCCGGTAATAACCCTCTTTCGTTTCGAGTGTATAAGCGCTATAATTGAGATGATTTAGGTAGGAGAGTCTCTTGATCAAGAAAGACTACCGGAAGAGCCTATATAGTTCTTTTCTCTTTCCAAGGAAGATAATTGATTAAAAGTCTTTCCTTCCCTCTCGGTAACAAGATAGCTGTGCTACGGGAGTGCAAGAGAATTCCCTAAGAGCCCTAGAGCCGACGAAGGAAGCAAGCATCTGACTTTCTCGCCCACGTATCAAAGGTAGTATCACTTTATCGATAGAACGGAATCGGATTCGTCTTTCCCGTTCTTCTGTCCAAAGGTAGGTTTTTTTTAAGAGCAGTGTAGCAAAGGATTTGATTTGCATTTGTCAACCCGGGACGAAAACAGGATAGCCGACTGATCAGAGGGGAATCCATCTTCTTTCTTTATAATCTGCTATGGAATGGTAATTGCTTAACGCACAACTGGGTAAGGTTATCTTCTTTCTTTGCTGAACCTATGGGCCAACCCTTTCTTTCTCTTGACGGACCATAGGGCAGGGGTAGCGAAGCTAAGAAGGCTAGAAGCCGAAGGCGAAGGAGGCATATACGCTCACTAGACCGGAGTATTATTCCACTTCAACCAAGCTCCCTTTTTTGTCGCCTACATCCGCTAAAAAGCAATAGAAAGAAAAGGCATTAGTTAATCTTAGCTATTCATATTCCATCAACTCTATACTCTTGGAATTCCTTCATACGAGGACTGAAGTTTTCTTATCATCCCACAGTCAGAAAGCATTCGTAAGAAAGCTGTCAACTGATGAAAGTGATTCATCTATCTCATTAGCCAGAAAGCCCTTCTCTTGCTTAGAAAGGAGGAAAGAAAGTCTGACTTCATAAGCTCCTTTCGGTAAGGTTAGTTGAGTCTAATGTTCAAAGAGTTCGCGGTATACTTTATTAGACCTTCCTGGATTGTGATTGAACCATGAAAGATGAATGAGACTGAACATTAAAAGAAGAAGAATCAGATCTTCCTTTACAGGAGAGGAAAGACTGAAGCAAGACAAGATGAATTCAATCCTTTACAGGAGAGGAGAGGAAAAGGAGTTCTTGAAGAAGAAGGATGAATGATCAATAACTACCTCACCTTCACCGTAACTAGAACCTATTTATGTATTCTTCTTTCTCTTTCACTTATTGGTCTCACTGCTTCGCTCCTTCTCTGTTCTTTCACTGTAAACTTCTTCCCCTTCACCTCCTCCGTCGGTTTCACAATTGCATTTCATTCACATATCGGTTTCTCAATTTCATTTCCTGAACCTTACGGTTTCACAATTTCATTTCCTTCACCTGTCGGTTTCGGTTTCACAATTCCATCTAAGGTTCAGTAAACTCTTATACTGATCGCATGCAGTATCCGAGTCTTGCCCATTTAAGGGAGGGAAGGAGGTTCTCCTTCTTACAATGAATTCCTTCTTAGGGAAGACAGAAGGAAAAACAAATGCAATTTTGCAGTGAAGCGGATCTATTCGCCCCCCTCTCCCTTTGGTCTCGCGGTTTCCCCCCTCTCCCAACTCAGTCACATGCAACCAGGCTTGAAACCCGGCACACTCTCCCTTCTGTGCCCCCTGACCAAAAGGTATGGATGGTCTTTCTGAGAAGAAGAGCATATCTACCTTGAAGACCTTCTGAAAAGTGGCCTATGGAAGGAGCATACTCACACCCAATATGAGCCTGTACGAGACTTTCCATTCCCATCATGGGAGAGAGAGAGTTTCCCTGCGTATTGATTCATTACCGACTGAACTGGAAATGCTAGCTTCTATTCTTTCTAATACAAAGTTTTATTAATTATGATTTATACCTACATTTAATTTAAATATATTATTTATTATATAATATAAAAATTTATTATAATATAAAGGTTTATTAATTATGATTAAGAATTCACGATTCATAAATTATATATATATATATATATATATATATATATATATATATATATATATAATTTTAAAGCATATTCTAAATTCTAATGTATTTATTATCTATTTGTTGCAACGTTGTTATATCACAATTTATATATTTTTTAATTTTTGGATTCTCTAAGATCACGTATAAATAAACATATTTCAATTAAAATATGTTTATATATGTTTTTTATTTATATACCATACTTTTAAACTAATTATTTTTATTGTATATTTAACTTCATCTATCCTTAATATTTTTGTTATTTTAACCAATTTTCAAGAAATGTCGGTATTTCGTTGTTTTAAGTTTTATGACAACGTTGAACTAGTTAATATGTTATAATTTTCTCGTTGTTTTTAGTTTTATGACAACGTTGAACTAGTTAATATGTTATAATTTTCACTCGTTTTTTTTATTGATTTTTTTTTTAAACAATTATAGATTGATTTGTGTTTGTTTGGGAACTTTTAATATATTTTATATGCGATTGTATCCAAATAATTATAAATTGTGGATAAATAAAACATAATTTTTTTTTTACAACCCAACCCGAAAATAAAGGGTTTGGTTGGGTTGGGTTGTGAAAAGTTTTGGGTTGCGTTGGGTTACGAGTCCAACCAACCCGAACTTTTGGGTTGGTAAAAAAAAATCCATCAACCTAACCCAGATCATGTACACCCCTTCAATGTCATCTCTTAACCTATTTTGTTAGGAAGTACAATTACATTCCTCAATTATTATTTTAAAACGTGTTAATTAGAATTTACTTTTTAGAATGTATAACGACCACATCTAAATAGTTGAAAATTATCTTATTTATAATCAAATAAATTACAAAAGACATGAAAAGAATAATAAATGGGAAGAAAAATATATGGAAAGATATGTATGCTAAGGAGTCAAATATCTAGATATTTATTTATAATAAAATATCAAACCTGATATATTTAATACTAAATATTCTTTTTAACCGTTTTAAATTTAATATAAATATGCAATAAATTATAATGAACACAATTTGATACGATGTTTTTAAAATAGTAACAACAAAACATTATCTACAAAATGAAAGTCCATTGGGCCTGCTACTGTTTGTCCTCGGCCCATATGTTTTAGTTTTTGATAAATTTTATGATCGAGATCCACTTTGGCAGCAGAGAATCAAATAATTAAATGCACACAACTTTATTAAATATGAGAAGTTACTAAAGTAGATATTTAAAATTAAAAAGCGAAATTTTAAATTTGAACTCAAAATACAAATAGTATCCAACACGAAAATGAACCCGAAAGTGGTGAGTGGGGGCCACAATAATTTATGGGAGAAGAAACGAAGAACCCGTGATGAATCAGCCTGCAAAAGTAGACGCCACGTGTCCCATGTTTTTCTCTCTCACACGTGTGTCCACATACACCCTCAGACACCACACGTTTTCTGTTACTGTTGAATTAAGTAAATGACGTAAATGTCCTCTCATTTTGGTGGTGCAATTTATTTATAAATTATCAATTCTAAAGATTTTAATTTCTTCCATGATGGACCATTTCTTTTTTTATTAGACATTCATTAATTATATAGTTATATTTAGGCGAGTATAAACATAGGAAATGTAAATATTAAGCTAAAACGACATATCCTCTATCCCATAAATAAGAATGTGACACGAATTAAATTATTTTATTTTAATGGGAAGGTTATATTTTCTTTACAAGATATGGGCAACCTTGAAAAACAAAATGCAACTATTCTCTGTCTCTCGAGACCCAAAATTAAATATTTTAAAATTTTATGGAAAAAAAAAAAACAATTCTCTCTCTTTCCTTATTTATTTATTTATTATTTTTATCCACTCCCTTGCATGCGAGCTACACTTTACATGTAGCCTTAAGCTTTAATCAAAATATATAAAAAAAAAAAAAACAAAAATTTCTCTTTTTCTAAAAATAGGAAGTATAATTTATTTTTTTACATAAATTAATAAATCTAAAATTAAGTCTATATTTTTAATTAAATTACTAATAAATGGGTTCTCTGAAAAGAAAACTATTTAATTATGATTTGATGTCATACTTAAAGTTTGTATTTTTAATTTGGCAGTGTGTATTGTTGTGGGAAAATATTTTTCTATTTATTGTAATTTAGCTAAAGAAATGGATGTTTGAAATTATAATTGAAAAGAATCCTTAAAAGATGCAGAGAAAAAGACCCCAAAATCAAAATTAATACATCTGCTGGTGCTTTAGACACCGCTTGACCTTGACGGCGACGAGTAGGTGACTAGGTGGGGGTAGCAGAGACCCGAGTCCAATTCCATTTGAATATACCAATTTTTTTACATTCCCGTGAGGCAATCATTCCAGATTAATCAAAATTATTCAAAATCCCAACAGTTTTTACCATTTCGATTTCGCCCAGAACAGAGCTGCGAAGGAAAAATCATTTTCCAGGTTCCTATATTCCCATATTCCCACCACAATCGGAACCCTCTTTCTGATTTTGTTGCTTCTCGTCTCTTCTTGTTTCATGGGTTCTCTTTGCTTCTTCTTTCTGAGGCTAATCTCAAGAGAATAGTCTGGACGCGTTTCGTTGGGTTTTGGAAGCTTCTGGGCTCTAATGGGTCTGAGCAGACCCCACAAGGCCACCAATGGCTTCTCTACCAGATGGGTTTTTCTATTTTGCATTGCTAGCTTCTTCTTCGGTATTTTTGTTGTTGACAGGTACTTTCTCTGTCTCTTTTGTGCCTGAGATCTTGTATTCAATGGAATCTTCTTGTGATTTTGGGTAATGGGTGTTGCCACTGAGGGTAGTGGGCTCTGTTCTTGAGCTGTTCTTTTGAGGAATTTGCCTGATCGGATGCTTGAAACTGTGTTTAGGCTGCATGGGTACTTTGATTTTTGGAGGCATTGTGTGTTCCTTTTGATCTCTGGGCTTCCTGGGGCTGGATCTTTTGGTGTTGCCTGATTAGCAAATTCTTGGCCAATTGCAGCAGATTCCTGTTTCTGATTTCTTCGTTTAGCTTTAGATGTAAACTAGTTAGAACAGTGTGCGAGCTATGAGAACTCTTTCTGATCGTGGCATTGGCTACAAAAGTTGGTTTTGTGAACTTTCGAGATCTAGTATACCAAAAGCCTATCAATTTGGATTGTTGCATTGTTAGTATCAAGTTTAATCTTTTTGTTACTGATCCTGAAAATAGAATACCAAGTTTCTAAAGCTGGGATGAATTTTGATTTGCCTTTGTGAATCCAATGAACAACTTTGGATTTGAGTCTTCATTGGCTCTGATTTCTTTAGGAAACAATTTCATGGAAGAATTACTAAAAAAACTTGGTGGTAATGGTCGAAAGGAAATCTGAGGGGCAATCCTGTTGTTGCAATGAAGCGCTCTGAACCGTCCATGATCTCGTTGTCGTTTCATGTACTTCTTTTGTGCTTCTTTCTCTCGTTTTGGGCGAGCTAAGGAAATGGGGAAGGGCTAGATGTGAGGACTTTAATCAGTAGATACTTCATGTGAACATGGATAACTTTCATTCTGTTTCACTGACTTAAAGCCTTTAAAATTGGATCCAGAAGAAAGAACTGCAATGTGGGTTCTCTTTTTTCTTTTCTTTTAAGGGGATAGTCTTAGACTCTTAGGTACTGCTCGTGTTTTATATGCGATAAGTAAAGATCGTCTTGGTGAGTTTAAATCAATTGAGTGAGTTCCTTGTGCTGTGACAGTTCCTCCTTTCCGTTGTAACGAATTCAGAATTAACCTTTACCAACTGTTCATGTATGATATTGTGCATATTCTTAATTATTATTACAAAGATTCATGCTATGAAAAGTTTGTCCATTTAGATATGAAGTTGGTTGGTTGGTTGATTTTTTTTGTATTGTCTTGTAGGTTTTGGGCCGTGCCTGTGCCTGATCCAGTCGAAACAAATGAGGAGGCGTCTTTAGAGAAAGTTCAATCAAAAACCTCTCAGCCTATTGTTAATTGTGAGAAGAAGGCAAGTTAGAGTATAATAAATGTTACTTATTTTTCTTTACAACAATATTTTGATGACTTTGTTCGTGTCACAGGAAGCTTCCCTACAGGATGACATACTTTCTCGGGTATCAGAGACCCATGATGTTATCATGTAAGTTTCAGTCTCTTGCGTGTCTATGTGATGTTGAAGAAATTTGGCTGTTCCCTTGTAATCATATCTCAAATTTCATGATTCACAATTAATTGTTGAGCCGTCCTAAGTTTGAAGCACATTATGGCACGATTTTTGCAGGACATTAGACAAAACAATCTCATCGTTGGAGGTGCAGCTAGCTGCAGCTAGAGCTTCTCGAGCAAATAATGATGAAGGATCTCCTATGGTTACAGAGCCCGGAATCAAGAATTTGAAGGAGCGGCCAAAGGTTTTCTTTGTTATGGGAATCATTACGGCCTTCAGCAGCAGAAAGCGAAGAGACTCTATCAGAGAAACATGGATGCCTCAAGGTTTGACCATAATATAGTCATTCTGTCACAACTGAAACAAATTTGTTCCTTATAACACTTGGTTATATCTAATTTTTAGGTGAAAATTTAAGGAAGCTGGAGGTGGAGAAGGGAATTATAATGCGCTTCGTCATTGGACATAGGTAGAGTTGTTATAAATGCATGCAATGAGCTGCAAAGTCTCATGTTTCATAATGTAATAGTTAATTTAATGTGTTCTGGTTTTTAGTGCAACTCCTGGTGGCGTGTTGGATCGTGCAGTCGATGCAGAGGATGCACAACACAAGGATTTCCTAAGACTGGTATGTTACTGTTAATAGATGTGCATTTCACGTATGCGAGGAGAGGGAAGAGAGAGCTAGTTACTGTCGGCAACTGGCGAGATTCTTATGGGTTTAATTAATCTTCATTTTGGTAGTTACAGTTATTAACTGATATTAATAATCAAAATAAGCTAGCAAAAGACAATGAGAATTGAGAGAAGGGGAAGTCGAATCCTCTCGAATGCTTGGAAAGATTTGTAAATTGCCCGTACTAATGTTTGTCTATTCTAAACCCACTGCTAGCAGATATTGTTCTCTTTGGACTTTCTCTTTCGAGCTTCCCCTCAAGGTTTTTAAAACGCGTCTGCTAGGGAGAAGTTTCTACACCCTTATAAAGAATGCTTCGTTCTCCTCCCCAACCGACGTGGGATCTCACATCTAGTAACTTTGGTGTAAGAGTAAATTATTTCTAGCAATGCCAAAAGGGAAGAGCATGGAGGGGAAAATTGATTCTGTTGAGGAGTTATTGGAAGTTGTAGCGGATGAAACAAGGACAGATTTATGCTAGGATCTACAGAAGATCCCAAGTGAGGAGAACATTAGCGTGCTGCTTGAGCGCGTGGAGTAAATTCTTTAATAATTATGGGCGACCCTAGAATTTTTATACGTAGATTGAGGCATGGGTGTAGCATCCCGACTTGCGAGGATGTGACAAGTTTTTTCACAATGCTATTTATTAATACTGAACGAATCTTGTAGCACGTCGTTTCTTGAGTTACCGTCTGAAATAATGCATTAGTTGTGCAACAAATCAAGTGTACTTAAACTTGGATTGCTTTCCTACAGAACCACATAGAAGGATATCACGAATTATCCTCGAAAACCCAAATATACTTTTCAACCGCGGTTGCTAAGTGGGATGCAGATTTCTTTATCAAAGTTGACGACGATGTTCACATAAATCTCGGTTAGTGTTCTCACATTCTAGAATTATTGCTTCTATGTACGAGTGGTGCGTGTGTGTTTATGTTGAGCGTGGGATGCTGAGTGATGCCTCCCCTTGCTCTCCACAGGTATGGTTGGTTCTACTTTGGCTCGTCATAGATCGAAGCCTCGCGTTTATCTTGGTTGCATGAAGTCGGGGCCAGTCCTTGCCCAAAAGTAAGCAATTAAACACTGTGTGCTCACGAACGTTATGTTACTTCCCGGAATGTTAGATCAAATACTAACTCGGTAATATCTTTGCAGAGGGGTTAAGTACCACGAACCTGAATACTGGAAATTTGGCGAGGAAGGCAACAAGTACTTTCGACATGCAACCGGGCAAATTTATGCGATCTCCAAAGATTTGGCTACCTACATTTCAGTTAATAAGTAAGTTCATAGTTGTTCTCTTGGCACTAGAGTAATTTGGTGTGAGCACTTACAACAAGAATTTGCTTCTTGTCTAGGCCCATACTACATAGATATGCAAATGAAGATGTTTCTCTGGGTTCATGGTTCATTGGTCTTGATGTGGAACACATTGATGATAGGAACCTCTGCTGTGGCACTCCACTTGGTAAGACGATACCTTTTCCCTTCCTTACTCGACCGTTTCAAAATTTCAATTCATCACGTCGGAAAACGAGTTAATATCGCATTTCGTTTCGTGTCAAAGCTGACTCAAATGCCAAAAGTTTTCTTGAATGGATCTGAACATGTTTCTAGATACTGAAATGTGTGATTGAATTTGGTTGAACCGTGGGTGTAGACTGTGAGTGGAAGGCTCAAGCAGGGAATCCTTGTGCTGCATCATTTGATTGGAGTTGCAGTGGCATTTGCAAATCAGTGGAGAGAATGGAGGAGGTACACCAGAGGTGTGGGGAAGGCGATGAAGCTATTTGGCATACCAGTTTTTAGAAGCCCTTTGAATTTGATATCATTATTTCTTGTCTTTGTATATTTGTAGAATATTTGTTTGTACCATCAACACAAAACTGATACTCACAAACCCATGCCCAATTTTTGCCTATTTATTACTTCATGGCAGTGGGTGTTGATTAATTTAATGGTTTGAAGCTATTATTCAATCATCCTCGACTTTTCGTTCAATATTCTAACGAAATTTTCTCGAGAATGGTAATAGTTAGAATGTTGAAGAAGAAGGTGGGAAAGCCCCAAAAAGATGTTAGGTGGAAGAGGGCGTCGCCATTGCTAAATCCTTGACCCAAAATCTGTGGCATTGCTTGGCTGTGCTGTGTATCCCTTTGAAACAGAGACATATGTATGGTCGGTAGTACATTTTCTTTTTGGATTGCGGCCTTTTGGTTTGGTTTTGTGGGTCACATCCACTCGGAGATTAAGGTTGAATTGAAATCAGGTAATCATTTACGTTAATTTAAATACAATTCAATTAATTAAAATATGCATTCCTATTAGTAGGTAATAAGGTTGAATTGAGGTTAAAAAAAAAGAAGTCATCTCATCGAGACTATTTACCCTCTCGTTAAGATAAGTTGTTGATTTAGTAACATAGCCTCCGATTAAAAAAAAGTAATACTCGATTGTATTTTACCTTTGAATCATTCTAACTTGAATGTTGGAGTTTGTTTGCCGAACATAAAGTATCTTCTTCAAGGAAAAATACTGATTTAAGGCTCGTTCGAAAAATAAATCTATAAATACTAATTTCTTTTGTTATCTATTTTATAAAATATATTTAAAAAACTATAGAGTAGTTTTTAAATTTTTTTTTTTATTTTTACAATTGGACTAATACTTAAATATTTTCTAATTATAAAATTAAATAAAAAAACAAATAATTACCTAGTGGTCTCTAAAATATTGAATTTAAATATATGTAGTTTCGTGTATATTATTCTTTCCTCATAGCCGAAATAAATATTTCGTGGTGGAAGAAGCAGCGAAAGTGACCAAAATTCTGAGGTTTGAAAATCAGTATAATAATTAATTAATTAATTAATTAATTAATTAATAAACAGTTGTGTGGTTGCCACCACGAATAAGTTCAACATTTTCATTTCAAGTCTGGAATATTGACCCTTCGAAAATAAAATCAAATCAAATCAAATTTTTAGAAAAAATTATTAATTTGAGAGGCAAATATAAACCCACGATAATCAGAAATGAAAAAATTCCATTTTAAATTTAAAATCGTTTTATACCTTAGTGAATATGAAATTAAGATTTATAAATCTTTTACAAAATTGATAATTAATATCTCTGCTGATTAGTTAGAAATTATAAATTTTTTAAAATTAAGCAGAATATGTGTCGATCTGTAGTGATAACCTTTCCTCTTAAAATCACAGTTTACAAATTAAGTGAATAAAAATTTATGTATACTACTTTATCTTTAGGATTGCTTTTACTTAGATGTAGCATCGATTCACTCATGTATCTCACAATCACAAATGTATTTAAAAGGAACGAATAAATTAGAAATAGTTGAGTATATTATTACTATTAATTTTTCAAATGAGGCAATTGTGTTCTTAAAATTGTGAAAAATGAAACACCAACGCTTCCCCCAATTATGGATCTCAACACATGTGTTTTGCATGCAAAAATAAAAGGATTAAATGAAAATAAAAATAGAGTTTATTAGTTGTGATTTGTCCAAAGAAGGGAGAATAAGTCCAATTAATATTTAATTACAAATTCATATCCAATGTGACAACTTAGCATTCCACCAACCCTCTTCCTTTAATATTAAATTAATTACTTTCATAGGTCAAACTCACTATTTCTTTTTCTTTTTTTTTTTAAAAAAAAGCTGCCTAATTAAACAATAAATAATTTTATACCAAGATATATAAATAATAATTATTATTATTATTATCGGTTGGTCTTTTTAAATATATATAAAGCAATTTTCAATTTAAATTATTATTTTTATTCTCTTCCTATGTCATATTTATGTAATTGGGTTTGAATATGTCATCAAGAATTAATATTTGCAGACAAAAATATAATTTTCTTTGCCTCATTGTAAGGGGTTATGACTTTGAAATAGATTAACAAACTTATTTATTAATAGTTTGTAGCTATATCGGGATTGCATTCAAAGTTTCAAAATAAAATTTTGACCCAATGTAATTCCACGTGGCATTTCGTAGTATAAAACTTTGACTAATTTGATATGGCATGAAAAAATGGAAACGAAACTGTAGAATAAAATAAATAATCTACATGTTCAAATAAGGCTAGAATCAGAGTTTCAAAACATTTGTGACCAAATAGCTAATTCAATTCTAAATTGAAGGATTAAGCATTTGAATGGATAAAAGTAGGACATTCAATTCTCAATTTTAGCGACATTAAATTACACCATTATCTTAGTATCCGGTCGGTAGACAAATCCCATCTTTGTTAATGCACCAAAAACCCACTAATGGACCCTTAAATTTAGTCAAATTTTTCGTAGAGTTGAAAACGAGGAGGAAGAAGAAGAAGGGAAGAAAAGTTTCAAACGTGAAAAATGCAAACGCGGTGACAAAAACGCGACCGATCGCTGTCTTGGAAATTGGTATTTGGGCATTTTAATGGCGATTTAGAGAGCGACCGACCATACCCATCTGCCATTTCAGCGTGATTCCAAGTTCGGCCAAAATCATTGATTCTTTTTGTGATTTTGGGAGAACCCTTTCTTTTGTTTTTCTATATTTAAGCAACGAGGGGGAGATATTTAGAGTTGAATCTGTTTTGGCCCCAAATTTTCTCTATAACCCGAGAAATTTATCTGGCTCTTAGAGGAGTTTATCTTCTTTTCACCGATTATCTCTGGATTCTTATCCATTTTCTGATCTTCTGTTTCGCCCCTCGCAGAAAAAGAGGGAAAAGGGGCGGAAAATTATATCCGAATCTCGGTAAAATTATACCCGAATCCCGGTATTCTTTCTCTCTTTCATTGTGCTATAATGATTGCATTATATATTTACGTTTCTTACTCCGTTTCTCAGTAGTTTGATTCTATTTGTTCTTCGCGATTGGCAGCCCTCACCCAATTCCTTCGCTCCTTGTGTTCTCTTCGCTATTTGGCTTTGTGGGTCGTTTCGTTTTTTTGACTTTGGGAGCTGATGGCGGTGGATTCGTTCTTGTTGGTGGCGGCGGAGGCTTCAACTGCCTACGATTTAGCGTTTAAGATTTTGATGTTCATTGTTCGTTTGTGGGTGGGGGTTATTGTGGGGGTGTTGGTGGGATGGATTTGGAAACCTAAATGGGCGGATTTCGGTAGTGATTTATTCCATTCTTCAAAGTTGAAGAACAATCTGTTGTCTTGCTCTGTTGGATCAATTTCTGGCTTGAATTTGGTGAAGATTCAGCTACCCAGATGCTTGAATTTGATGTCAAATTGTGTGGATGCAAAAGAAGTTCTACTTGACCCACCTACCACCGCCCTCTCCAGGTTTGTTGCTTTCAATTATAGCAACGATGATGCTTGAATTTGATGTTTTTTTGTGACTTTGTGTTTGATTTAAACTTCTGGGTCTCCTTTATCACTTGTTCATGTAGCATTCAGTCTGAATATTTAAGCTAATTGGTTATGGAAATCTCGTTTTCTCAACATATTCTCAACACATCGAGCTTAGAAATTCTAAGGAAACTAGACGAGTGACTATTGGATACTAAAATCTGCTCTAAAAGTTTTGAGAATAGGTTATGATATGTTTAATCTCTAACACATTCTTAACCACAGTTCATCGCAACTCGAAGGCGAAAATCGAGCCCAGTTAGCTGAGGAGGATTTAAAGCATTTATACAGGCTTGTTGAGGAGAAAGATGGAGGAGCCTCATGGATTCAAATGATGGATCGCTCTACTGCTACCATGAGCTATCAAGCATGGCGGAGAGACCCTGAGGTACACAGCTAGCTATCCATTACATTACTATATTCTCTTGTGTTTATAGACCTTTTTTGTTTTGAACGAATTTGGCATTATGATTAGTGAAAAGTTCTTGAATGTTTGACGAAGACAATTGTTATGAGTATCTGCATATTGAGGTGTGTTATTATGGTTGTTTTGCCAGACTGGGCCACCGCAGTATCGAAGCCGAACGATTTTTGAGGATGCAACACCTCAGATGGTGAGGGATTTCTTTTGGGATGATGAATTTAGACAGAAATGGGATGATATGCTTGTAAGTGCTCAAACTTTGGAGGAGTGTCCGACCACAGGGACCATGACAGTCCACTGGGTGCGCAAGGTGAGTGAAGCTTGTTTCTTTCACCCTTATCTTTTAATCTTGTTTGTATTGTTTTCTCATTGTTTTTATGTCTGTGCAGTTCCCTTTCTTCTGTAGTAATCGAGAATACGTGATTGGACGAAGAATTTGGGAATCGGGACAGTCATATTACTGTGTGACAAAGGTAAGACATACTATGCTGGTGTAGTACTTATCTTTCCATGTTGGTCTGTTCTTCGCGATTCGGTTAATTCTTCGATGTAATCAACTCTTCAATTCTTTTGCTATGTTGTAAAAACTTGGTTTTCAGGAAATAATAGATTTTCTTGGTTTGTCTTGATTCAGGGTGTGCCTTGTTCCTCGGTACCTAGACAAAACAAGTTAAAACGTGTCGATCTCTACTACTCGAGTTGGTGCATCCGTGCAGGTAACTAAGTTCTTCGTCGTCTTGTTTATTTTAATATGTTGAACAAGTAGAATTCCTACTCTCTTGGCTTCAACGTTCACTATACAATTTTTTGGATGGCGGGGAAAATAATTTATTCTGTGAGATCCCACATCGGTTGGGAGGAGAGGAGAACGGAACATTCTTTATAAGAGTGTGGAAACCTCGCCCCATCAGACACATTTTAAAAACCGGAAGCCCAAAGAGACAATATTTGTTATTGGTGGGCTTGGACGGTTACATATTCTATGCGTCAAAGCAGTAGCTTAGAGTTTTGAATTGCTTTTTTGATACAATTACTGTAACTAAAGGAGTTTCGTCTGGCTTGTATATGGAACAGTGGAGTCGAAAACGGGGAACGGGCAGCTGAGTGCATGTGAGGTGTCGCTATTTCACTATGAAGACATGGGCATTCCATGGGAAATTGCCAAGCTGGGAGTG